ATAAATAGGAAAATAATTTTTCTTACTCGTAATTACTTTCTAATAAGATAAAATTCTTCTATACTTTCCCAAACTTCACTCTGCCACTTCCTAATTTAGAAGATTTTTAGTGTTTAAGATGTAGAGAGATCTAAAAAAAATTGATTTTAGAAAAATAAAAGATCTTAAGTAATGAAAATAACGTTGTTTAATTATCGATTATAGAATTTTGAAACTAATTAAATATATTTTCTATACAATTTAATTCCTCACATAAAACTTGTCCTCAAATTAAATACGATGAAAGAGGACGATAAAAATTAATTTCGTTTATAATGAAAATAAACATGTCAGAAAAGAATGTTAAAATAGATTATCTTAAACCTTAACTGAATAATTGCAAAGTTTGGTTTTAGAAAAGGGATTTGACATGATGGTTCCAATATCAATTCCCATGATTTCAAATCAAATAAATAATGTTTGATTAGCAACAGCGAAACTCTATAGATATATATTAATCTTTGGTTTTGCAATAATGAGTAAACATGTTTGTACAAAAAAATACATTAATTATACTTAGTTTTCTTTATATAATTAGAGAAGAGTAAAAATATTATTTATTATTAAAAATAACATTCAATTAGAAATTAACTTCATTTAAAATAAAATAAAAACGTGTTAAAAAAGCTATTAAAATAAAATTTCTTAAACCAAACCTCTTATCCTTGGGAAAAAGTTGACGAATCACTTTAAAGAAATTGTGTTAGGTTGACGTAATTTGTATTTGAAAATAGATTATTTTATTAGGTTTCACTTTAAAGTAATATTATTTTTAATATATTTAAAATATAATTATTATTTTGTAACTCTAAATTATCTATAAACTTATAAACCAACCCACCTTAAATTTGTTTAGATCACGGTTAGATGTGTGAAGAAATATAAAATGATCCAATCAAGTTTATATTATAGTTTTTTTTCTCTATATATTTTTCACACATTTTAGTCCAAATGAGACCATTTATAACTCCAATCGTATCTTCCAAATAAAATAAGAACTCGTTTGATAAATCTTTAAAAATAATGTTAAATATTTTAGTTTTTAAAATTTTTAGAAATTGTATTAATAACTGTTTTATTCATTTTTTTTTAAATTTGGTTCATAACCTTTTTTTTTAAATGTTCAACTAAATAATTTATAATTATATTATAATTTTTATTAATAGTATAGACATTTTTATTCACATCTTTTATCTTTATTATTATTAAATTATGAAAATGGTTATTTAGATTTTCCTGTAACTCATTATCATTATAATATTATTTTTCTTCTCATAAAATAAATTTTAATTAGATTTATTCAATAATTTATTTTATAAATTAATTATTATAATTACTTTTAAAAATAAAAAAGTAAAATATTAGTTTTTTCCTTGATTTATGTGTTATTGAAAATTTAAGCATAGTTGAAATTTTACATCATATGAAATAAGAAAATTAAATAATTTATAATTAAATTAATATTTCTTAAATAAATTTGATGTTATATTTTTTATCATATAACTCTTTTTTAAACTAAATTTAAACTTATATAAATATGAGTTGAGAATTTAAAAAAATTTAATTAAGATTTAATAAAATAATATTTTTATAATATAAAAAATATATAATAAATTTAATAATAAGAATATTTTTTATAAAAAATAAATATTAATATTATAATTACAATAAATTATAATAATAATAATAATAATTATTATTATTATATAATAACGGTTATAAATAAAAATATATTAGAGTGATAATATAAATAATTCTTAAAATAAGATTAAATCATAATAAAATATTTATTATTAAAAATTGATATAATTAATATATAAATTGTTCTTTATTTTCTTAAAAAAATCAATATAAAAATTTAACTAATTATATTAATTTTATCTCTAGTTAATTATTTAAAAATAATAAACCATACTAATTTTTTATTAAATTAATTAGACCAATTAAACTAATGGATTGGATTTCAAAACACTGATATTGATATATAGGTAGATAGTCACTTGTTATTAATGATGATGCAAATGCTATTTAATATGAAAAAGGAATTCAATGCAACAAACTTTACATACATCAGTTTGGTGCCCATCACTTCAAGCCCGTGACAACCCCCATGTGGCTCATAGCTTCCATATTCATCAACTTCCCCACATTATTAATTATTAATTATTATTATTATTATTATTATTATTATTATTATTATTCACATAAGATAAAATCGTAACGATAGTGATTATTATTCATTGTCGAATTGGAATAGAAAGAAAAGAGACATAAAAAAAATATTAAAAAATGAGTATTTAAGCCAAAAAATTAAAGATAATAAATCAATGTGTGGATGATTATAAATATTCAGAATCGAATCAGTAACATTGTTATTTTTTAAAATTTACAATTTTCTTTTTTCTAATCTAGCTTTACAAAATCGACTAATTTTTACACAGTAAAAAAATACACATATTTCACAAAATATATTTTTACTATAACCCCAAATTTTAAAATAATTATATATCAAACTCGAGCGTGGATTTTTAACAAGGGAAAAAAAGTGTGAAGTGAGTTGACTAAACATGACCACGTTCACGATGGCACAATTTTTATATTAAAATATTAAGAAAATAACCAGCGCAAACTTTAAAGGTTAAATAAATTATGAGAGAAAAAGGAAAAAAAAAGTGAGAAATTTGACTGGTCTAAAAGGTTAGCTCGATAAAAAAAATTAACTATTAATATATATATATATATATATATATATATATATATATATATATATATATACTTGAAGTTTATTGTAATTATTTTTTAGATACAGTAAAAAAAACTTGGTTCGTTTTAAATTTTAATTTTACTATTTTTATTAGTTAACACCTTATTTGATTTTATTTCATGTAAATTTAGCTCTCTTATAAATCGTCAGTCATATCAAATTCAAATTAAATTACTCAAAAATAAAAAATATCAACCTTCATTATAAATCCTAATCATTTATTATTTTCATATTTATAAATCACTTTTTCAAACTGGTAAAATTTAGAATTTAATATTAACTAATTAAGTTTCATTTTTTATTTTTTTTAACTTATATTTTAATATATAAATAAATGCTTGTATGAAAAGAATCAAAATGAAATTGAAACTAAACATCCCGTACAAAAATAGTAAATGTAAATCCCCCAGAAAATTTGAAGTAATAAATATCGAAATTAAAATAAAGTATTTGTTAAATATTTTACTATATCCGATGATGCAGTTCACTTTTACACCATTAATTATTTTAATTACATTTAAATTTATATTTCATTTTGTGAATTTTACAACTTATGATCGTTTTCTGTATATTTTATATAAACGCTTTAATTTTATACTCAATGGCTTTTCAAACTATTATTTCTTTATTTATTTGTTCATTCTATTAATAAATATTATTATTTTAAAATTAAATGAAAATTTTCAATTTTAAAATTAGAAAAATATAATCCTTATTTATTAATTCAAAATAATACACGAAATATATATATTATTTTTTTCAAGATCGAGAACCTAATGATAACCTAATTTTGTATTTTGATTGGTGGGTCACTTGTGATTCCATTTTTGACATATTTTATCTTCGATTCGAGATTTTGTCGGTATCCCTGTCAAATATACTTCGATGTTCATGTCGGTCAAGTAAGTTACCTATTTATACTATCTTCGTGGATCTTTTATGGACCTTGCGTCTTTAGCCTTTCTATTTTTTGCCACGTGGCTATAGCACAGACACTAATCGCGTGACTTACACATCATTAAAAAAAATAAAATAATCCATTGTCAATCAGATTCTAATTTACCTCCTATTTAAGTGAACTAGTTAAACCCAACTTGAACAAATAACAAGACGATTGATTCATCTATATAAATTATTATTATTGGTTATATATATAAATTAAAATTATTATATATTTTTTAACAATTTTATTATTAGATTTATATATATTATCATTGTCGTTGGTTACATTATTATATATTTAAAATTGAGAAAATTAATTTAAGATATTAAGTAAAATAAAACAAATAATAAATTTAAAAATAATTAAGCTTTAAAATAAATTTTGACAAAAGTTCTATCGTTAAAAGATTTTAATTAACAGTTGACTTAATCTTCTAAATAAATAATTAATATCTTATTAAGGGTTGAATTAGTTGTTGAATATTTTTAAATTAAAATATTTTATTTTTTTAAAAGTAGTATTTTAATTTTGTTTTAAGTTGAAAAATGTTATATGTATTTTACAATTTTTAGAATATTGATAGACATGAGTGTTGGTTATTGAACCCGTATTATATTACTTATCTTTAAAATCTTTCTTTTATACGAGGGAGATATGTTGAAAAATTTTACATATATGATAACATTAAGATAAATACAATATTTAATTTATCGAATAAATTTTGTAGAATTGAATTAAACGTAAGATAATTTCTAAGAAAAATTAAACTAATTCTAAATAATAAAGGTTTATCTTATTTTTTTATTTTTATTTACTTTATTAGAGTCTTGTTAACCTTTAAAATAGTTGTTTTTCTTATATTATGTTTAACAATTATATTTTTAATCTTTTCAATTTTACATGTATAATATTATAATTATTAATTGACTATGTTATTATATGAAAGAAAACAAAAAAAAAATTAATATTCAACAACACCTTAGATTCCATGTCGGTTTAATGAAGTCCAGAATTAATAACTTCGTTATTATCCATCTCACCATTTCATACGTAATAATTGCAGTTGGTAAAACCTCCACATTTTCTCCACTCACCATTCGCATTTTCTCGTTTTCATTTCCCACATACGTTTATATAAGAGCTAAACCAAACCTTGTCTGATATTGAAAGACCACTAGAAAGTGTGGTTTATCTGAAGAGGGTGTTATTTGAAACCCATATCTGTGGCAGAACAAGTGGTTCAAGAAACCAAACATGCCAATGGACACTCCCTTGCTAGAGAACAGTGGGAACTCTGTTAATGGTGAGGAGGAGAAGGCAGTGCAATGGGCTGTTAAGAGTTTTGGGGTTGAGTCAAAGAAGCTGTGGAGACTAGCAGGCCCTGCTATCCTCACCTCTCTATGTCAGTACTCGCTTGGTGCACTCACTCAAACTTTTATAGGCCAAATTGATGACCTTGCTCTTGCTGCATTTTCTGTCGAAAACTCTGTTATTGCTGGTCTTGCCTTTGGAGTCATGGTACCACCCAAACTATAACTTTGTCTTCTATTGCATGCTTTCTTCTTTTTTTGTTTTCAAATTTCTTCGACTTTGTTTATCATCTTTCTTCAACTAATGTGGTTGATATTTAGGGTGGGTTTTGATTTGATGGGGTGGATATTGATAATAAAAATTGATGGATTGTTCATGTTGTTGTTGGGATAATAAGTTGGGGATGGGGAGTGCTTTGGAGACTCTGTGTGGGCAAGCGTATGGAGCGGGGCAGATGAGGATGTTAGGGGTGTACATGCAGAGATCATGGGTCATCTTGTTCACCACTGCACTTCTTATGTTACCTTTTTATGTTTGGTCTCCCCCAATTTTGAAGCTGTTTGGAGAAACATCTCAGATCTCAAATGCTGCAGGTTACTCACTTCCATACTTCTCTCCAAAATCACTCCATTCAAAAATTACCTGAATTTTATTTTACCTAACGAAGAAATATGATAACATTTGAATTATTTCCCTATCTAAACAAATAAATGAATCAGATCACATACTTAAATACTAATTCTGCAAAAAATAAAAAAATCAAACCATTTAAAAGGACATTTCATTTTTCCTTTCATTTACCAAGATAAAATTTATTAAATTAAATCTACTTGTATAAATTTTCTATTTAAAACGCTCGTATTTTTAAGTTCGGCCATGGACTAATATATGAATTTGTAAATTTTACGTACTAGACGTGTAATTGATTATATATATTTTTTAAAGAAACTCCATATTAAATACATGTTTAAATAAATAGTTTATTCAATTATAAAATAAATGATTTTTTTCTATTATAATGTTTATCAATTAAAAATCGTATTGAGATGTCTTTCAAAATAATGTATACAAATATTCTATAAAATTATTCTGAACACATTTACTTTGTTTGCGGCAGGAAAATTTGCTCTGTGGATGATACCTCAGTTGTTTGCATATGCCATGAACTTTCCAATCCAGAAGTTCTTGCAGGCACAGGGGAAAGTCCTGGTGATGTTATGGGTATCAGTAGGTGTTTTGGTGCTGCACACAATTTTTAGTTGGTTTCTTATTCTGAAACTGGGGTGGGGTCTAAGTGGAGCAGCAATTACTCTCAACACATCTTGGTGGTTGATTGTGATTGCACAATTACTGTACATTTTCATCACAAAGTCAGACGGAGCATGGAGTGGATTCACATGGCTAGCATTTATGGACTTGTTTGGTTTTGTAAAGCTTTCTCTGGCTTCAGCTGTTATGTTATGGTATTTTCACTTGCCAACTTCATTTTCTGCATTGAACTTGACTATATATGGTGGTAAATTTGAAATCTGGAAATTAATTGTGTGGCAGCTTGGAGTTTTGGTATTTAATGATACTGGTGGTGATGACAGGGCGCTTAGAAAATCCTCTGATACCTGTTGATGCCATATCTATATGGTAAATAGTTCTCTACCCCAGACCATCCAAAGTCTCTTTCTAGTGGATATGTTGAAAATATAATGTCTTAAATAAAAACAAAAATAAATGAAAACTGACATATTCATTAAATCTATTACTGTTACTCATTTTCATGTTTGCAGTATGAACATTAATGGCTGGGATGCCATGATTGCAATTGGGTTCAATGCCGCTATAAGGTGGTCCTCTCTCTCTCTCTCTCTGCCTGTTTCTTAACACAAATTCTTGCTAATAATTGAGTTTGAAATTTGGATTGATTTTGAGTGAATCATGTGGGGACATTATGAAGGGGTGAGTGAAGAGTATTCTGAATGACTTGTTTCAATTCATGGACAGTGTGAGAGTATCAAATGAACTTGGTGCTGGTGATTTCAAGGCTGCAAGATTTTCAGTGTGGGTGGTTTCCATCACATCAGTGGCCATAGGTGTTGTGGTCATGATCGTAGTGCTATCAACAAGGGATTTCTTTCCCTACTTGTTTACCTCCAGCACTGCAGTTGCTAATGAAACAACTAGGCTTGCTGCATTGCTTGGTGTCACTGTCATTCTAAACAGCCTTCAACCAGTCCTATCCGGTTAGTCACTCCCACAACCACAAACCATGAAACTGTCGATACAAGTGAAACTTCAATTCTAATCGGTCAAGAACATTAACACCACTTATATTAGCAATAATTCCATGGTTTAGGTGTTGCTGTTGGAGCTGGTTGGCAATCTCTAGTAGCATACATCAACATTGGGTGCTACTATGTATTTGGATTGCCGGCAGGGATAATCTTGGGATTTCTACTTCATTTTGGAGTAGAGGTGATGTACCATCATTACCTTCTCTTCACATATAACATCATCAATCTTAATTGTTTTGATATAGGTTTTGCAATTTTCTTATCATAGTATTAGTGTGTGTGTGTGTGTGTTTTTCTTACTCTTGGTGTCTGTGTGTAATTCAGGGTATTTGGTCAGGGATGATTGCAGGCATAGTTTTGCAGACCGCAATCCTTATAATCGTCACTTCAATAACCAACTGGAAAAAAGAGGTTAGTGCATTCCATATTTATTAAATAATCTTCCAAGAGTTTGAGCAAAGGTTCAAATTTGTTGTGAGTAGCTTGTTTTTTGGTCAAATTTAATTTTTTGCAATGGATTTCACAGGCTGAAGAAGCAGAAAGTCGTGTGAGAAAGTGGGGAGGATCAATTGCACAAGATCAGTGATTTTGGTTTTCTTTATTTTATTTTATTTTATTTTTATCACGGTGACAATTAGTTCTAGAGTCCGTTGAATTGTACCAAGAACTTGAAATTTTAGTCATGTATTGAGTGCGGGTTTTCAAATTTTCTTTTAGATTATTGGCCGAATTGTTACAGCTTTTCTTAAGAAAAAAATTACTTATTTCTAATTACTTTCAAAAGAAATTTCTACATTTATTTAACTTTTCACAATAACCAGAGCCTAATAAAATCAAAATTTAAAATTTCTCATATAATCAATTTTTAAAAGTAAATTTTTATGATTATAAACAAACACAAGTCAACTTAAAAAAAATATATAATATATAAATAATGACTACATTATTTTCATCAGAAACACTTTTTGAAATCTATGGAAAATGATAAAGTTAATTTTATTTAAAATAATTTTGAAACAGATTCAGATATCATTGACATAATAAACAAAAACTAAAACTGATTAACTCAACTCTTAAAAAAAATTATTAATTTACACAATTTCCTAATAACACCATCTAATTTATATGAACAATTATAATAAAAAATAATAAAATAATATTAAATTATCAAATCCATTTTGAGATGTAGTGTAAAATCAAACATATTTTTTTACTGTACAAAGGTAAAACCAAACATATTTTTTACTTAATCTTATATTTTGATTGCTAGACTTAAGTAATCTAAATAATATTTTTTTATAATACTAGACATATCCAAATGTTTTGATAATTCAAATATAATTGCGTTTTTTATGTATTTAATTAGTGTGTTCATAACCAGACAAAAAAAAAATTGATTCAAAATTGTTAAACACATGTATTTAGTGATATTCATTCAACTTGTGTATTGGCCGAGTCAGATGTAACATTTACAGTCTGTTTGTTTCCACTGATAGACTGTTCACGAAGATAGAAAGACGAGGATGACACACGTTTGGTTGAACAGAAACACGACGAAATGAGAGCGAGGAAAAGCGGGAGATGGGAGAAAGAGGATCTTCGCTGATCCACGAAGAAAAGCTACGAAAGCCTCCTGGACAAATTGAAATGTCCAATTTACCCTCACTCTGGAAGATTCACTGGTGCAACCATGCAGAGAGATTACTGGAATATAATTTATGCAGAGAGATTCACTGGAAGAATTGGAATATAATTTATGCAGAGAGATTCACTGGAAGAACTGGAATATAATTTATGCAGACAGATTCTGTAAAATGTAGACTTTAGATAGCGGTTCCACGTTAACCGCTATCAGATGTTCACTTTTAAGAGCGGTTAACATCTTAACCGCTATCATATGTTCACCTCTGATAGCGGTTCCAGGTTAACCGCTATTTAAAGTCTCGAGTATTTAAAAACCTGATCGATCATTTTGGCAAAGTAATCGATCAGATTTTTAAATACTCGAGACTTAAGATAGCGGTTAACCTGGAACCGCTATCATATGTTCACCTATGATAGCGGTTCCAGGGTAACCGCTATCTAAAGTCTCGAGTATTTGAAAATCTGATCGATTACTTTGCCAAAATGATCGATCAGATTTTTAAATACTCGAGACTTTAGATAGCTGTTAACCTGGAACCGCTATCGAGGTGAACATATGATAGCGGTTCCAGGTTAACCGCTATCTAAAGTCGATCATTTGAAAAATTATATCTTCTAAAATATAATTTACTTTCATTTCATAATTATTTGTTATTATCAGATCAATATTAATTATTATTTTATATTTTATAATTATTTAATTATTAATCAAATAATTTATTTAATATGTCAAAATTATTTTTTTATGGATATGCAATGTACATAATTTTGTAATTGTTTATTTATATAATTTTTAATAACTATTTAAAAAAAGTTAATTTTTTAAATTTGTTTCCAATTACAAACACTTTTAAATTTGTTTTTTCTTTTAAATATATAATCAATGTTAAAATATGGATAATTAATTAAAAAATTATATTTATAATCATTTGAACCTTATTTTATACAAAGGGTAAAATGGTAATTTTCTTAAATAATCAATTAAAATTATAATTTTTATATCTCATATCAATCAAATCATTCACAATTTCCCATAAACTTTCCTTTCACTTTCCATTCATCCAAACAACTTTAATTTCATCTCCATTTCTCTTCAAATCCCTCCTTTTCCACTCTCTCATTTCCACTCTCTCAAATCACTCCAACCAAACAAAGCCTGAGGGGGCAGACGTTTTTTTTTTATTTAAAATAAAACTTACAAAAATTATGCATATATAGTTTTAAAAGTAAAACTAAAATTTTGGATATTATGTTAACTCATTCAGTCTATCAATTTATCTTAAAATTGGTAAAACAAATCGATAATTTTAATTTATTTTAGCTCGTTCTGTTTATTTCATCAACATGAATAACTAAGAATAGGATAGAATGAGTTCAGCCACTAGTTAGTTTTTAAAAATTTATTTATATATTAAAATTAAAATAAAAAATTATAATTTAAAATATTATATTTGTTTATGTTATTAAAATATATAAATGTATTATAATATTATAATTTAAATTATAAATATTAATTATAATTAGGTATTTTAACATACAAATACAATATTATTCAATACTTTAACCAATAATTAAACTTAAACTTTTTCAATTTATTTATATAATTAAAGATGTATTTTTTGAAAAATACATAAAAAAGTTATATATATATATATATATATATATATATATATATATATATATATAATTTTAGAGGCTAGTTTACTAGCCCATCGACTCACCCCACTTGTCCAGATCATGGTGAATCAACCTACCTAACCTCATTTTAGGTGGATTATAGATGGAATGAGTCAAAACGGGACAGACTAATCTATTTTATCATCTTACTCCTATGTTTCTGTTGCGAAGAGATAAAATAAGAAAATAAAAAAGCAAAAAAAAAATTAACCGATATAAAGAGTTTTTTCAATTAAAAATTATCATAACACCACTTACTATAATTGGTAAATTAAAACTATCATAGTAAGTCATCATTTACTATTGTTTTTTCACTAGTAACACTCAATTTATGCCTTATTAGGTTATTCATGATTTGAATATCTAATCAATACAAATTATAAGAATAATATGCATGTTGTAACATCCCACACTAGTAACATTGAAACATAAAACTAAATTATGCAAATGGTCAAAGCAATTCAAAAGAATATCATCCCATTCACAAGGATTTACATACACATTTTAAATAAAATGTTCAATACTAGGACTAACCACTTGAAACATCCTCCGTTCATGTGTAATAACACGATCATAACAATTTAAATCAAACATACCATATAAATTAGGACAATTTAGAGATAAAAATCTCAAATCATACATATCTCCTCATTTGCATTTTTTTCTATACACAATTTTTTCATGTAAAATAAGTAAATAAGGAATCAAGTGTCTAACTCCTAAGCTATATTTCATGTCATCATATATTGACACACATACCATAAACACAAGACTCACATATGTTAAATTGAACTCAAAGATTGATACTTGTTACACTACTTTTCCCAAGTAGATACCTCTAACATAGGTAGATAATTGGAATACACGTTATCTCATGTGATAAGGTAAATCCCTATTACTAAGGATGACAAAACGGCCGACCTGCCAGCGTATCTAAAAAATAGCAAGGTGGATTGATAGTTTTAGTCCACCGACATGTTTTGGTCCGCCTCGCCTAACTCGACGGGCCAAGGACAGAGCGAGGCGAATTGGCCCGCTAACTTACTTTAAACAAATATTTATATATTAAAATTAAAATAGAAAAAATTATAATTAAAAATATTATATTTTTTTTATTATGTTATTGAAATATTTAAATATATTATAATATAAATTATAAAAATTAATTAATTAATTTTAAATTATTGATTATAATTAGTTATTTTGATACATAAATATAATATTCATTTCAATTTATCTAATAAATCAAAAATTATGTATATAATTAAATATATATTAAAAAAACATATAAAAACTTTTATATATAAAAAAATTTATTGGCGAGTCTGGCTAACCCATCCTTTGATGAGGCCGGTTGAGGTTTGTAGCACATCCTGACCTATTTTTTGCGGGCTAGATGCGAGACGGACCAAAATAGGGTGAGCTTACCTGTGTTTCCATCCCTACCTATGACTTGTCAGACACACCTCATGGCTAGGTCAGATAAACCTCTTTTAAGTTTCACCACTTCATACTTTTCTCTTTGTAAGTCTAGTATCAATATAGTTAGAATATCTCTTTCAGAATCCCATATTCAATATATTGTTAGATTATTTTAATATGATATTGACTCATGTAATTTATAAAATAATAACTTTAATGTAGAAGTTTCTAATGTGATGGTTATTAGATTATAAATATATTAAAGTTATGAGAATTATTTTAGAGTTATTAAAATTAATTCCCTCTCTTCTCACTTCATTAACAGTATTATGGTATTTTAATAAATCTTTTAAAATACTACGTACAAGTTACATTACAGTTGACGTTGCTGAATATAAAAGACAAGTGATTTTGATAGAAACAGGGGTTGTACTAGACACGTTCTATATCATCAAGAAAGTCATAAAAGGAAGTAAGAAAAGGGAAAATATCCGTAAAAATATCTTTTGCAATGGATTCATGTAAGTTTTTGAACACTTCTAATAGTATATTTGTGAGTGTATGTCTATCCAAAGATGTCATACATGTCAAGAATGATATATTTTATTGTCCATTAAAGTGTATGTTATGAAAATTGAGAGTATTTATCTTACCAAAGTAGACACATGATTAAAGTTTATATAGTTCAAATCTATTAAGTTTTCAGAATATTAATGGGTGAGAGTTTGTTTAAATGTGTGCAACTATGTTTAATATGATTCCATCAGGCAACTGTTTGATAAATTTTAATGGTTTAAATTATACTGATTGATATGAAATGATCTAGTTTCAACTAAGTGTTAT